ACTAAAAGACAAGCTAACGGAAGGTCTCACAAATAAATAAAAATATCCTATAAGATGAATGGATCAATTTCCTAACCATAATTTTCTTTGGACCCAATAAACCTTTAACAATGTACTCAGCGAGAAGATATTCTATGGGTCTGGATCATGGTAGTCCTTTTCAAAAATAAAAAAAAGAGGGATGAAGGGAGAAAAAAATTAAAAAAAGAGGGGTAGAAATAAAAAAAAAAATTTATTTATAACTGAATAAATAATAAGTCTGGAACATATTAAATTTTTCCGTACTCAACGTGTCACTTTTTATGCCCTCGTGTACATCTTGGGCCCCATTAACCACAACCTCAACTTTCCGCGCGTGCTAGTTCTAATTCCTACTTCACGCAGTCACCAAAAAGTTTTGTCCCACTCTTCAAAATGCCAACTCCTTATAGTGTCCAACAATTGAACCCACCACAAACTAACCAGCAGAAATAAAGATTTTTAGTACACAAGTAGTAATAAAGATTCAGAATATCCTTTATTAAAGTTTGAAACAATAATTTATGGGTTTTATAAGATTTATATTGTAGAAAAAATGATTGTGTAATGTTATAGAGATTTGTTTTGCGTGCCAAAATTTTTTTTTTTCTCAAAAAATGTGGGCCGCACAAAATGTTGTATGTGTAGAAAATTTTATTGTGTCATGTTAAATGACAAATGCAAATCCCATAATTTATTTATATACATTTACTCTACTCAACATATTTTTCATTTTATTTATTTATATAGGAGTATCTATTTGTATATAAATAATAAATAATAGCTTGAATCAGATATCCAATTCATTTTAATTATTTATAGGCTTGTTTGGATGACTTTGCTTCTAAAATAATTTTATATGATTTTCTTAAATGATCTTTCAATAAATTATTATTTTAGATATAAACTTGAAAAAATAATTATATGTTTCAATATAAATTTTATATAAAAAATTATATATTTGGCAGAAAAAACTTTAGTTTGAGAAAAATAAAATTTATATTATTTTAGTACTTTGGTATTTTTCCTTAATTAAAAATTTATTCTTACATACTAAAATATAAAAAAAAGTGTTTTAATTTTTTTTATTAAAAATAGAACAGCTAAACGAGTATTATATACGAGTGAAATTAAATTTATCTAATTCATAATCTTCCAATTTATTTTGCTTTACATTAATTAATTAAGGCTGTTTTGTTCTTTATTTTTTTTTCTTTGGTAAAAAATAATGTGTTCGGTAATGATGAATTGATATTCTGTGAAAATTCAAATCAAATCATATTATTAAAATATGTTGAAAATGAACTTTAAATTGAAATATATACTTTATCTCTATGTCAAAAGAAAACTCCAAAATTGAATGTTTATTTGATTTTTTTATATCTAAGTAAGGGAAAAGATAATTAAAAAGAAAGTTTATAATTTCTTATGGATATGTTCACTTACTTCTAATTTCTTGAGTAAAACATTAAAATTTTATTTTAATTTATATCACATCCTTCGTGTGAAAAATATCAACTAATAAGAGTAGTAAGCCTTTGAAATTAATAGGAGTATTATGTTTTTAAATAAAAATACGAATACTAAAATGTATGATATGTTTAATTATTGTTGATTTTATATGTGTAAAATTTCTAATGAGTAAAGTTCTTAAACAATATCTTGTTTGTCTTTTATATTTGTACGTTGATGATTTACATTTAACAATGTAAATTATGGTGTTGATGAAAGGGATTTGATCTTTTAGAATGTACATAACAAACATTTTATTCTCTTACAATTTGTTTTTGAATAGAATTATTATTTTTTGCTTGAGAAGAGTTTTTGGGCACGGAATTATATTTGATAACATACACATTTTACCATGTGTATATTTAATAAAGATAGTGTTTCTTTTGTTCCAATTTCAAAGTCCTCATATCACATTCTACTATGTGCGTATTTAATATAGTGAAAAGTTTAAAAAATCCACTGTAGTTTCTCTTGGAATCATTTAGCTCCTTACAGTTTTTTTTTTTTTTTTTTTTTATCATTTATCTCCATGGTTATTTTAATTTAGCCCATTTTCTAATACGATTAAAAATTAAATTAGATTATATATTTTATCCCGGTAAAAAGAATCACTATGAGCTTGCTGAAGTTCTTGGTGTTTTTATAAGAATCATTCCATATTGAGCGAGCATATCAGTAATTGATTAAGTTTGATCTGAATAGTAAATGACAGCAATTGATTAAAAAATGTAAACCAAGTCAACCAATGTTTTTAATATGTATATATAAGGACAAAAAATTGAGGAAAACGTATGCATTAACCACAAAAGGGATGTTTATGAAGCGGCTCAATTTGATTTTCGATGAAAACCGAACCAAATTGGTTTTTCATTTTTCAAAACTTGTTTTATTTTTTTTGAACCGGTTTGTGATTTATAACCAGATTTGATTACAAACCGATTTTGAATTGAGATCGGTTTATGATTTAAAACCTGTTTTAATTTAAAAGTGGTTTAAAATTTGAAACTGGATTGTAACTAGTTTAAAATTTGAATTGTTTTTGTAACCAGTTATAAACCAACTTTAAATCAAAATCAATTTTGTCTTCTATGGCATTGGCAAATTTAAGATTTTATATGGAAATTGTATATTTCGAGAAGCCCGCTAATCTCTATAAATAATCTAAATGGAAGAGAAAAAAAGTCATAAGTAAATATATATAAAATAATAGTAATTTTAATAGTTATAAATAAAATATTAATGAAAATACTCGCTCCATTTCTTGCTCAAAATGCTTATAATGTTAATAGTCAAAACCACCCTTGTTTATTTAGCTAATAATACTATGGTTCGCTTTTTCTATGGTCAATATAGATAACTTATCTATATTTAGTTCAAAACGACATTGTTTTGAGACGAAAATCAAGGTATTTTTGTAATTATAATTTATTTCAGGGTTATAATAATTTTTTTCATTATACTTTTTTAATTTTTCAACTCAAAACGACATCGTTTTGGAGCGAATGTAGATAATTTATCTATATTCACTTTAGAAACATTAAAGACTAAAACTATTTAACATTTTTATATCGATTTTAATATTAAAATTATAAACTTTATCATTCCAAAGTCATAAATATAATGTAATATTTATAATTTAAATATTCAAAAATAGTAAAATACCTTTTTATATTTAGGAAGATATTTTCCATTTTAAATAAATATTAATTCTTTAAAAAAAATCTATCATTAATTATTTATTTAAAAATTTAAGAATATAAGTGTGAAATAAAAATTATCAAATGGAAAAATTAAAAAACATGTGAGTAATTGAGACGTCGTAAATTCTTATGCCCGCGAGATGGGACTAACATCCATGTTCAGAATCTTTCTGTGTCTCACGCTCATTGCCATATCCAATTAAACAATTTGGTTTCAAAAAAATAGAAAATAATTTGGTTTCCAAAAAATAGAAAATAATTTGGTTTCAAAACCATTTTAAAAAACTGTTTTTATGGATCGTGATCAATCCATATCCAAAAGAATAAAAAGCAGCTTGGTTTCAAAACCATTTTAAAAAATTGATTTTTATGGATTGGATATATTTGATTTCTTATGTTGGATTGAATTAGTGGTGAGAGTTACATGAATTGATTACATTAAAGAAAGCAACTGCCACGCCTCAACGAAAGACACTATAATTCATCTAGGATTGGAGAAAAAATTACTATTAAAATAATATATCACATAAAACTTGCAATAAATAACTTAATTTATATAATAAATCTTACATCGACAGCTGAAAATGAAAATCATCTGCTTCATGTCTCGTTCTATATTTCAACTTTAATACCCTTACCCTTGTTTTTTCTCCCCCAAATCTCTACAAAACAAAACATGGCAAAAAGTGGAATGGAATGGTGAGGTCCAAATGCTATATTTGAAGGCTACACTAATGTGACACAGTAGGTAAGGTTGTCGGCAAGATAATAGATTACATATATATTACTAAATACAAGTGATTCTGTTTAAACAAATGTAATAAATATATAGATTCTGCAACTTATATAAAATATGATAAGATCTGAAGAGAACTATTTGTAATAAACATTTTGTAACAGAATAATTACTTGTGTCACCCAAGTGCCGCATGGTAGTGGGTTATGCTATTAGACCATTAAGCATTAGAAGCAATGTTATAAGAACTGGACCGATTCGGTCGGGTTGACTTGGAAATCGGTGAATCGGTTATGTAATCGGTCCGATTTTTATATTAGACCGATTATGTTACAGAATTGGTGTGACCCAGTGTGATCCGGCCGATTTTCGTAAAAACAGATGACCCGGTCGGTTCAACCGGTGACCTGGCCCGGTCTATAAAAAAAAATTAATTTATTTTTATAAATTAATGTCTTCTTTTTTTTACTCTCAAACACAAATGATTTGTTTTCTTTTAAAATATTTGAGTGATTTGTAGCTTATTAACTTACATAGTATATGTTTTTACAACACTAATATTATCTTGATTATGCAATATGCAGGGAATTTTGATTTGATTTATAGTTAGATATGTCGTTTACTGAACCTGAAATATTAGTATCACAAATATTATATGTTTGATTGATCTTTTGTTGGACAATGATGTGTAATTTATTATTTTCATATTAAAATATTTAAAATTGATATATTTTTTTACAAGTAATTAAGTATATTTATAGTTTTTTTAATATAAATTATAGATTTACATATACTTATCGGGTCATACAGTTGAATTAGTGACTCACTAGTTAAATCAATAACCCAATAACTTAGTACCTCAACTGAGTCAATGTCAGAGCCGAGTTTAATAATACTGATTAGTACTATGTATTGTTAATATTATAATATTCATCATCGAATAGCTAGCTATAAAAGCGAGTGCTGCCCACTATTGCCACATCCCGCAATCCCATCACAGAAATTGCACTTTGCACCCCCTATCACTACTATACCATCCAATTCTCTGATACCGTTGTCGTTTGTTCTTTCTTTTTTCAAAGCATGGGTGAGGCTCCTGAAGTGCTCTACGTTAATGGGTTCTCAAAGTTTGGCCACGAAACTCAACAAAACAACGGACATGATCAGAACCATGATTCTTCCTGGTACGAGGAAGTAATCGATGATGATCTCAAATGGTCTTTTAAACTTAATAGGTTCGTCATTGCTTCTGCAATTCACAACTCCAAATCAATGTCAGTCGGTTTTTTTAAACAGAGATTACTGTCATTTCCCGTTTGTTCTGTTTTGCTTTTTATATAAAAAAAAAATTGTTTTGTTTAATTACATCAACTCACTTCTTTGTTTTCTTTTAATCATTTTCAACAGTGTGCTTCATAAAGCGATTAGCGAGTACCAAGACATAGCTCTCTTAGATACAAAGCGTTTTGGAAAGGTTTGCAAGCTATTTTGTTGCTTCTGCTTCTTCTTCTTCTAACAAGGAAATAAACAAAAGAAATATGGGTTAGGAATATTTTGCACCAATCTAAATTATATTTTCAATCTTAGGCATTCATCCTATTCACATCTAACAGCCCTAATTTACTAAATATCTGAGTCGTTAGATGTAAGTAAGGAAATCAATAATCAAGATTGGAGTTAAAACTTCTTATTCTTAACATTGGTTTAAGAATAACCCGCCCTAAGAAATAGATGCAAAATTTTGTATTCCTTTCTTCTATTGAAAAGCAGAGGGAGGAAAAAAGTTTTAAATAATAATTGTTATGTGACATTATTTATGTTGGATATAGGCGTTGGTACTTGACGGGAAGATGCAGAGTGCTGAAACGGATGAATTCATTTATCACGAATGCTTAATTCATCCCCCTCTTTTATGTCACCCCAAGTAAGTTTCTATGTTTACTATTACGTTATGTTTTGACTTTTGACTCTAAGGCTTTGAGAAACATTCATTTCGCGCCGTTTGGTTGAAGATAAATTTTAAGAATACTAGAGAAATGTAATTACTAGGTATCTATAGGGAAAGTTGAATAAATGAGGAAGTTAAAAAAAAGTAGTTTGGTTTGACAAAATTTTACCAGGGAAATATATGACAAAAAGTGTGTCAAGAGTGCTTTATCCGAGTTTTCTCAAAAAACCACCCTCAAATCGGGTTTCTAAACAGTGCAAATTACTATCTTTCTCAAAAAGCCAAGCATTTCACATAGATGGCTTTTGGTCAAAAGTTGAACCAAACATTGGTTTTCTAAATACTAAACTTCATTTACCTAGAAAAATCTCAAAAAACATTAAACCAAACGCCCCCTAAAGGAAAATATTATTAAAATTAAACTATATATATATATATATATATATATATATATATAGAGAGAGACACACACATTATAAATTCAAAAATATTTTCTGCAATTAGATTTAATAATGCAATATTTTATTAAATATGATCCCCACTTTTGTTCCTTACACAGAAAAAAAAAGTCAAATTTTTATCCCTCTACAATTTAAATTCTTTGAAAATATGATCTCTCATAAATTCAATGAAGACCCAATTTAGTCCCTAAACAAGACTAATATGAGATTCTTTTTATAAGGGACAAAAGTGAAGACCGTATTTTTTTTGTTAGGGACCCAAAAGGAACTTTATTCTTATATAATACTATATCTTATAAAAAAAGGTATATAATCAGTGAGTACTGAGTACCATATCAAGCCCAGTCTTTCTTATACTCACTTCATAAAAATTAATAGCGTCATTACATATATACCACATGATTGTGCTTCTTGGTAGACTTGATTGGGGTTTTGTTTGATCATAAGCCTCTTGACTAATATGAAGAGGCATGTTACTTATTGTGGCAGCCCCAAAACGGTGTTTATAATGGGAGGAGGTGAAGGTTCTGCAGCTAGGGAAGCCCTCAAACACAAATCACTGGATAGAGTGGTCATGTGCGATATAGACAAGGTTACTACTAAACCATATTGCTCCTCAGCCGTCCATCTAATTCAAATGTTAATAATATCCGTATAGATATTGGCAGTGCTGATGTTTTATTTTATTTTATTTTTTCTTAAACAACACTCAACTTTAAAATACTATTGATGATTGTTGGTCTTCCTGATAAATGGTGGAATTTTACAAAATATTATAATCTCAAATAAATGTTTGATAAATTAGTAAGATGTCAATACTAAAACATGGTGCAATAGCCCACTTTTATATAATCAAACAGCACTTTTTTAACCTATTTTTAGTCCATCAAATATAATAGTCCATCAAATACAATAGTCAGATCATTTATTTATTGCTTACTTCCTAACAACTTTTTATTTATTTATTTTCAAATCTCAATTACCTACTTTTTTAATGGAATTTATTTTATATTTCAAATGAGATTATGTATCATATTTACACTAATCTGTAAGAAATTTACACATATATATTAAATTAGAGTATATTTTTGTAAGATGGTTTAATCTCTTAGCCTAATTTTGTATATAAAAACAATTCTTTTAAATTAGCTGCTCATATCTTCTTTAGGATTTTAAATATTTTTTTAGAAAAATCTTTTTAAGATTTTATTTGAATTAATTATTAATTATATATATCCCTATTAAAAATTTTAGGTATTTTCTATTAAATTTCGTGTTGAGATATATAAAACCATTAATATAGCCCCACCCAATAGCTTAAACTTTCGGATTGAATTGGTTCTTTACATGGTATCAGAGCCTTGGTGTACCGGGTTCGATTCTCACCGCCCCCCATTTTATTTCTAGTGGAATTTCTTTCTTCGCACAGGTAGGTGGGCTTGTGCATTGTCCACCCTTTAAGTCCAGTGGGCTCCCGTGTGAAGGGGCGGCTTGTGCATTGTCCACCCTTTAAGTCCAGTGGGCTCCCGTGTGAAGGGGCGTGTTAAGATATATAAAACCATTAATTAATATAGCCTCACCCAATAACTTAAGCTTTCGGATTAAATTGGTTCTTTACATTTCTATTTCTATTTTTATTTTTATTTTTATTTTTTAATAAGTCCTACTCTTAACATTGACAAAGATGCTCAAATTACTGTAAACAAGTTTCAACTGCTGACTCTTGCAGGAGGTGGTAGATTTCTGCCGAAAATACTTGATTGCAAATAGGGAGGCATTTTCTCATAAGAAGCTCGACCTTGTCATCAATGATGCCAAGTGTGTATATTTGCTTACTCGATTGCTTTGTTTCTTAATTAATGATTTTTTTCATCTTAGTTTTCATTCATTTATAATTTATTTGAAACCATAAAACTATATTATTGGAAAAATCAATTATATTATTGAAAAATTCAAGTACTTAGAGTGGTTCCTATAATTTGCTCGAGTGAAAATACACTAAGCATGCTCCACTTATATGCATGGAGGAATTTAATTACAACTTGTATAAGTAATATTATCAACACTTCATCTCAAGTTGGTACATACCTGTCACTAGAACTTAGCTTGTTATATATGTACGTAGTTCTTGAAGCACAAAGAAACTTGACATCTATACTTTATCTTGCAAAACTTTTATTCTTGAAAAAGTTATTTTAACCATACGAGTTAATGAGTGTCATAACTCCATATTCAAACATATCAACACTTTGATGTAGCAACTGTCCTCCGCCTTTTGCTTTTCTATTAGATAAGGTCCCTTTTCAAAAGGAGGTTAACATCTACAAGCAACAATATCTCCATGGATTAGTCCCTATTTTTATATAGTAACCCCTTTTCTAGAGAGCCCTTAATATATCTCTACATTCCAACCACTACTTCTCCATGACTATAACATGGATAAGAAACTAAGGGGGCGTTTGATAGAATAAATTTTTTTATTTATTCGAGAACAATAGATTATTGGAATATAGTGGAAAATATATTTTTCTGGAATGTTACTTAAAAGTTGTTTGGTATGACCAAATTTTTCAAGAATTTTGTGGTTAATTGTACTGAGTGTGTGTTTGGTTGATTGTGAAATATTAGTGAAAATATGATATTATTTTACAAAAATAACTCCACTTTTATTTTTCAATATCATATTATATGAAACATTAAACGACAGAAAATATCTACACATAGTTGAACATAGTTGTTTACAACAAAACAAAACAAAAAGACTTTTTTAGGACTTCCAGACTTTAGTCAATATGTCAATATTCTTCATCGTATATCTTCTGATGTGTAAACAGAGCTTTCACAGATATCGTCCACAAAACAAGGTTAGTTTCGTCCACATATTCAAGCCTTAATTTTCACTTCCCCATGCACAAAATTTTTCCATCTAATCCATGGCATTTTTTAGCTGAGCATCGTAAAACAACTTAACACACAACATCAATTTCTGGGATAAAATATTTGTCCGGAAAGTTTTTCATTTTTTGCACCAAACATGGGATCCTTATTTCTCCAAAGATGGTTTTTCGAGAAATGTAAAATATATCTGGTACCAAACGGGCCATAATAGGAAAATATATGTCTAGTTTAGTCATAATGAGATACTTAAGTTTTCCGACTTATCTTCCAAAATGCTAAGAGCATAATTTTTGTGAGAGATTCAAATGCTAGCATTTGATTGACCAACTTTAAATCAAAGAAAATATTTTAATCGACCTCGTCTTTTAATCTCAAAGTTTTTGAACTAATGTTGTTTCAAATGTTGGATACTTTCATGATCATTATTTATGATAACAATATCAATTATATAGACAACAAGATAGATACACCAAATAATAGCTTGTTTCACTCTAGGCTATACCAAATTACTGTAGAGCCTTGCTGAACTAACTAAACCATGGGCTTTGTTTAACTCCATATAAAGACTTATGCAATCTACAAATTAATATTGACTCCTGCTGAGTAACAAACTTAGGTGGTTGCTTCATGTATATATTTTTTTTAATTATTATAAAAAAGTATTTTGATATACAATTGATATGAGGTTACACATGGCAACCACAGACCAAAACGGCCAAACAAATGGCATTTTTACGACAAAAAATTTAATCATTTCAACATCAACAATTCAACATTCACAACACTTTTATTTCAAAATTTAACATAGCCTAGGGTGAAAATTTGAGTAAAGCATTTAACAACAAAATAATCTTTCACAGATGCACCTTGCCACATGTAATATTATGAACAATCTTAAATGAAATTGAAACAAAAATTTTAAGATGAAATTTACCTAATTAGTATTAAATTATTTAGGGTTTTTTTAGTATTGAAAAAGTTTAAGTGGGTTTAGACACCAGTATCTCACTAGGGTAAGAGAAGACCCCCAATTTTTTTGAAGATTTTCAAGAGGAATTACGTATCACTCACCAACAAAATCCTCATATCGACTAGCGAGATTTTAACTCACATCCTTATGGATTATGGACCTAATACTTAGCCAACTGTATCGACTTTTATTGGCATTAATGTTTTTTTTTATAAGCTGTGAAGACTAATAACTATCTTCCTACACTTTTCTTTCTTTGCTCTTGACCTTTAAAAGCAATGGCAAGAGGTCACGTCCGATAACTTAATTTTATTATTTCTACAACAGTCGTAATTAACATTTATTTCTTATAATTTTTAAATGGGTTTGTCACTTCTAAAATGATAGCAGATGAAATTTTTTGCAACAAATATATTTACACTAAGATCCGCATGCGGATCTTGATTTTCTATGTGTTGTTGCAAAAAAATTTATCTGCAGCAACAGAAAAAGTATTAAAGCCTTTTTAAATATACTATTTAGTTATTTGTAAATTTTGAAATCTGTTTATCAAAATGCTCTGCCAATACCAATTATACTCTTGAAAAGTTTAAGTCTCCGCCAAGCTACTATAAATAATGCTTTATCCAATCCATTCAGCAATACATGTACCTTAGTGACTTTTACTCAGACTAACCATGTGCACCCTAGGTTAATAGTCCACTACTTCCAAAGAATGACATTTATGAAAAAAAAAACTTGCAAAGAATATTCTCTTTGAAAAGCATATATTGTTCTTTCTTTGAAAAACACACTCTTTCCGTTTTGTTTTTTTGGATTTCAAGGAGGTCTCTTACTTAATGAAGCTAAAAATCATATTTTGCTTTGAAGGGCTGAACTAGAGAAGAGAAAGGAGAAGTTTGATGTCATTGTTGGAGATTTGGCAGACCCACTTGAAGATGGGCCTTGCTATCAACTCTACACCAAATCCTTCTATGAGAAAACCGTGAAGCCCAAGCTCAATGATAATGGCATTTTTGTAACCCAGGTAGATTATGAAAAGCACCCTTTTATGTCTCTGTACAAAACCTACTCAATAATAACGTTTAACGATAAATTGCCTATTGTGCAGGCTGGACCGGCAGGTATCTTCACACACAAGGAAGTCTTCACTTCTATATATAACACAATCAAACAGGTCTTCAAATGTAAGTCTACGTATTTCAATTCTTTTGTTCAGTGATTAAATTTCATATATCATTTACAGATTTATTTAACTGAGCAAAAGGATATTATGTTTTTTAATTTAACTCAATTTATGTTTTTCTTTTTTCTTTTTTTGGGGTGCAGATGTGATGGTATACACGACTCATGTGCCATCATTTGCTGATACATGGGGATGGGTTATGGTATGTGAAAAGAAAGCTTGGTTTGTTTTACTACTTATATTTGTCATTGAATATTAGGTTCGCTTTTTCTGCTGCAGATAAATTATCTGCAATAAACCTAATACGACGTCGTTTTGATACGGAAATTATGATGTTTTTGTAATTTTAATTTATTTCAGGGTTATAAAAGTTTTTATATTAATTTTTTAATATTTCAATATCAAAACGATGTCGTTTTAGAAATAAATGCAGATAACTCATCTGCAGAAATATTTTTGCCTTAAATATTATTTACATGAAATTCTATGCTTTAAATTCAGGCTTCAGACCAACCACTATCGATTGGTGCTGAGGAAATTGACAAAAGAATCGAAGCAAGAATAGATGGGGAACTGCTCTATCTAAATGGTGCCTGGTTCCATTCATCTGCCACCATGAATAAGACTGTTTCTCGATCGTAAGTACTCGCAATTCAAATCCAAACCCAAAATGTCTGCACAAATTGAAGACCTTTGATAGGCCTAGTTAACTTATTCCTATTAGAACACTACTCAATTAACAATTAATTCGGATGATGCTAATATCAACATGCTAACTTCATTGTTGCAGGCTGCAGAATGAAACTCATGTATACACTGAAGAAAATGCTAGATTTATTCCTGGACATGGCATGGCTTATCGTATCTAAGGTTTCGATCAACAACTTTGCGTAGTGCATACCAAATTCATCGCCCCGCATATTTCGTTTTATATTCACCCTTAAAGTAAGTCTAGTGATACTAATGAAAAAAAAAAAATGACAAATTGTGTATCCGTATGAACCGCATACATTACCGTGTACTTCTTTTTAGAAGTACTTACTTTCTTTTATTCAGGGCAGGTTCATAATTAAGATTTTAAACTCTTTCCAAAGATAATATTGAAAAGAATCAAACACATGTTCTCATCTCCACTTGTTTATGTCAATTGAGCTACCATCATTTGATAGCTTGTAATTCTTTTCTAGTAACACTAAGGTTTCAAGCCATAGATTGATGGAAAGTCTTATATACTCTCACCTTAAAGTATTGCGTCATAGAGTTCAGATTTGACTTTAGAGTTAATTTGGGGGCATATTTCAATTTTTGTAACACATGCATGTTTTCATTTGCAAGGTACAACGGTATTAGAGTATGTAAGATTCAAAACAATAAGCATAACAACATAAATCAAATAATCGAATCAATAGTTTACTATTGTTTCATGAACTTGGCTCTAGAATTTTGACTAAGCTTCATTTTATATGGTATAATTTATTGTTGGGAAATATTGGGGTCGCCTAGTCTATTCATTTTATGGGTTTTATGTTTATAGATAAAAAACATCTCCTACATGCACATAAAAGTGTGTGAGACCTATATAAGATCATATGAAGAGAAGAGAGAGAAAAAGAAAATATGGATCTTACACACTTTTATGTGTGTGTATGATACAATTTTATCTCCTACGAAAAATATTACCTCATTTTATATGGGGAAATCTTTTTCTTATGTTGATGTAAATAAGTTATCTTATGTTAGTAAAACAAAATAATAAAAAGGACCCACAAATGATTGGAGAGGAAAAAAAAAGTAGGATCCAACTTTGTTATGTATGTGTAGGAAGATAGATTATCTCATGTTGAATGAGATAAATATAACCCTTTTATATATAGTATAATCTATCCCAATGTAAAAAGGGGAAAATCTTGGTCTTTTTTATTGAATCAAATGGGCCCCATGGAGAAAGGCCCACAAAGTAGGCCATTCACCTGGTTTCTATTGGTCCAACTCACTTCGCAGCTTAATCCAACAGCTTCTACCTATATCCAAGTCTCTAACGGCCGACCGCAAGCCCTCATGATTTGATTTAGTATAATTTAAAACTGCATTAAAGATCAAAACCGTTAAATATATTGTAACGACTAACGAGCAAGGACATGCTAGAATGTATCCTGTGAACATGAACAAGGAATTTTAAGATTAAAAATGATGCTATCTAGAATAAATTTGACCATCTATACTCGGGCAAAGCGACAATTTTTTGGCGGTGTTTTGTACCAAACGCAAGCAGAGCATAGGTATAAAGAATAAAGCTTAGTTAAATCTACATTGTAGTCAATGTTCTATCATACCAGATGATTAATTTTATTTTATTTTTTTGAAAGATGTTATGCAATCCGATCGTTTTTGTAATAATTTTTTTTCTCCTGAAAAATAGAAACACTAATTAGCAGCAACAAGGATAAGAGTAAGAGATTAAATTAAAAGTTAATTAGGATGGGCTTAACTAAGAGAATCAAACCGTCATAAAAAAAAAAATTATTGCTTTTTTATAAAGTTTTTAGACCCCACTTGACTACGCCTACCGGCTTAAATTTTTTTGTTGAATGAAAGGAAAGTATCCAAGTTTATAACGTGATAAGTCTCAAATTCACATAAAAGATTGTCATGAGTTTGAAACGCATAACATGCACACATGACACAACATCCATGGGGTGTTTGGTAGGTGGTTTTTAGAGGAATTGATGGATAAACAAGGGTGGTTATTGAAGAATGTTGTGTTTGGTAGAAGAGTGTGAGAAATAAAACCAGGCAACCTCTTTTTCTATGAAATGTTGTAGTGTGTGTAAATTTGTGTCCAAATCACTATTTCGGAAGACAACCTTAGAGGTGGTATTTGTAAATAACTAAGTAACTGAAAATTTTGACCTGATGTTTGTTACGCAAATACCCCTGATCAGTTTCCTCTTTCCTCTAAACACATGTGGTCCGTATTTTTGTGTCCAATGTCATTCTTCATCAGTGTATAATTTTCAATTCAGATATCTCTATTTGTAAGGGATATTTTCAAATTTTTGACATATTTTTCCATCAATTTTTTACTTTCAACCAAATATAGTCTTAGTAATCTGAAGACAATTTTTCTAGTAATATTTTGGTCTACCAAATAATTTTTTTTTAAATTTTTCCATTAATTTTATTTTACAACCATTTCCCTACTAATTATATTTACCTGGTCAAAAAAAATTTTTACTCTACCAAACGCCCCCAAAGAATAGTATAGTAGATATCTAGAAGTTGATAACGATTTCATACTCATACCCCAAACATAAGTTTCTTATCACGCAATAAATGCCACCTTTATGCATCATCCAAAGGACGAATAAAATTTACAGGGCACCTCATTCTTGATTAAGGCCAATTAATCCCTATTTATATTGGTCAATAAAATTCTTTCTGACCTAAAAAAAATAGAAATAGGAAATTAATGACCAAATTCTTGTTAAACAAAGAAATAATTCAAATAAGAAATTCATAATTCACATACTCAATAAAAAGAGAAAGTTTTAATTTACAAGAAAAACATGCAATTGAGAATTTTAATCAAGTAAAATTCGTGACAAATCCAAAACTTGACTGTTCAATTGTTGTCTCATACTACCAAAATATATTGGTGTAAATACTGGTTTATGATCGGAACGAGTACAATATTATTGTCCGGTGTAGTAGTTTGAGGCAGAGTGGTTTCAAACAAGAACTGGCCATGTTAGGCATCTAATTAATGGGCGTAACTGCTCTTAAAACCTGCACTTGAATAGTTGACTATACTAATTATTATTATCAATGTTTTAAAATTGAAAAACACATTGAACAAGAAATAATTATATATGTATATATAAAATTTGTTTTATATAATATGTTAAATAATAAATTAATATATTAATAATGGAATATGATTTCATAATTTAACAATATAAAAATATATTTAACTTCAACATATAATATTTATAAGTACAATATTAAGAATTACACTTAAAAATTAAGTTGAAACATGATACAATATTTAAAATGACATCGTCTAACTCATAAAAAAATAAATAAAGTCTCAAAACAGTGTTATATGGACCAAATTTTGTAGAAAAGAAATACTCCAAATCAATTTAATCGGTTTTCTACTGAATTTGTACCAGTTCGTTCTATTCTTCACCAGTTGATCCAATTTTATAAATTGGTTATTAGATTGGACATCTAATTAATTCATCATTTTATTGTTTTGGTCCGATTTTTTCCTCAATGAATAATATGTTACACCATAATAGTGTGTTAAAGCCAAAAGCATTGTGCAACTTGCAAATGTACATATAATTCAAAGGGAATATTAGTCTTATATTATATAGGAATAGTTTTATCATATTATAAAAAGAGTTTAAGTGGGATCTACCATTAAAAAGCAAAAAAAGGAAAAAGAAAAAAAGGAGGGGTACGATCGAATTGAGAGAAAATGAGATAACTATCTCATGTAAAATGAGAATAATATTTTCCTTAATTTAAAGCGTTTCCAAGTATGGAACCTAAAAGTTGGTGCCTGTCGTGTGAACGATATTCTGGTGTCTGTGTTGTGAAAGAAAACGAGACAGACAGGGAAAAAGATACTTGTATTGAAGTGGACACAAATATCATAATCATGGTCATCGTCACCCTCTCGCTTGTACTCTCTAGAATATAAAGGAAAAGAGGTTTAGCAGTGTAGTGAAAACTCACCTCGGGATCGCCAATGACCATGACTTTGTCTTTCCCGAACATAACAAAGCAAAAGAGTGTGAATTTTTTTTTTGTGTAAATATCTTTTTGTGGTCCACAGCAAATTTTAATTTTACGATACCCGTTTTAGTTTCTAGCAAATAAAAAGTTTATCGTGGTCTCTACAAAAATTTAAAATGGATCTATTTAGTTGAAATCGTGGTCCTTTACAAATTCAAAAAAGACACATATTAGTCACTAAAAAAATTAAAATGGGTCCATTTTGAATTTTTGAGAGACCACGATGGCCCTTTTTATTTGTTAGGGACTAAAGCGGGCATCATAAAATTTGCTGAGAATCAAAAAAAGGTATTTATTCTTTTTTATATAAATAATTCAATCAATTCATCTCTTTGCGACTAATTAAATTCGAGGTGAATCTCAGAATTAAGAATTTAAACTCCTCGTTATATTAAGGAGAATCGAAACTCTTATCATCACCTGATCAGTTACTTGGTGTCAAGTGAGCTACCATAAAAAAACATGAATTCTAACCATTGCACTAGTGACCCCAGTGCTTATCTTCCAGCCTAACTTTTCCTTCCTCTTTTTTGTTAAAGAGCCCGCTTCATCACATGGTTACTTACAACTACTGACCACCCTATAAAAGCCTCTTCAGATTAAGAGTACCCTCTTTGCTTTGTCTCTTTCTTTATTGTTAATCGGTATAATTTTTCCCCCTCAGCATCGACTATCTCTCTCTCACTGTCACACACATTAGTTGTGATTAATATAACTGTATATACTGTATGTATGTAAATCAAAATTAATAATACTCCTTATTGTGCAAACTCCCAAACGTGGAAGGAAAAAAAACTAGTTGGTTTTTTTTTTTTTTTCAAGATATAGAACGCACAAAATTATTCCTTTCATCATTGCACAACGGCTTATCCACCTCACCCGAAGTACGGAATCTCTAACCGACGAAAATGATAACTATGCTTACCCCAACTTTGAATCACATGGGATTCACAGTCTTTAAAGCTTATAGTACTTATAATCCGAAGCTTGCACTAATTCTCAACTTAAAATCATAAAGTAGTGCACTCAAAATTACATATGCAGTTCCCTGACTGCATTTCTTGAATAAGTTACATGTACCATCTGTTGATTAATAAACAATTAACAGTTATACTTGTTTGTGATACGTTCATGTTAAGATTTTGACTAGGCGATTACTTTTAAGGGAAAAATAAGTATTATGTTGTAGGACAATACTCTTGTCATGCTATAGAGATAATTAGTTTGGGATAAATATGCAACACAAAT